CTCTTGCTCTGGACTCCAACAGCCTACCTGGACTCTTGCTCTGGACTGGACTTTTAACCCCAAGAGCACAGACACCTCCAGCACATCTTATCTATGGAACTGCTTTATTTTAACTTGGATTAGGAAGGAAAATTCTCTTGTCCTTACATTTATAAATGTTGACTAGAACATTTTCATGTTCCAGTCCGTACTTTAAAGTCTTTAATCAGGGGCAGACTCAAATCACCAAACTCAAAGAAAATATAAAATAAACACTACGCTAACTGCACACGGTTGTGCCCAGATTATGACCCCCAGAGAGAGACCACCAGAGAGGCCCAGACTGTAATAAGCAAGGTTTAACCAGCATAATACAAACATGTTTGGAACTCATCTCCATCCCCGTTACAGCAAGGTGTAAAGAGGAGCTGTATCTCCTCTGTGGGGAAAGCTTTTAAAGGCATAACTACAAAGAGAATCTTTGAAGAAGCTTTGGCATGGGTACAAGGACTTTTGCTCCCTCCCATTCTGTTAAGTCAGCTTTCTCCTTGTTCTTAGAGCAAGGCCACTGTTCTTGAGTTAGGCCATCTTTATCAGCCTGTACCAGGTGGCTGGCTGGGCTGAGCTAAGTGACCTTGTGATCGGAATCTCCCGGGTGGGAGAGGGGAAGGCCACTATCTTCCTGGGAAAACATTCTACTAGGAAATTTCTTCTTGCCCCTTTCAGAATAAGGGGTGAGGGTCCCACACACACAGTTACATCTTCCATTGTTCTTGCGTGTAGGGTTTTCGAGACAGTGTTTCTCTGTAGTTTTGGAGCTTGCCCTGGAACTAGCTCTTGTAGAGCAGGCTGACCTCGAACTCACAGAGATCTGCCTGCCTCTGCCTTCCGAGTGCTGGGATTAAAAGCATGCACCACCACTGCCCAGCGCGTATGGTTTTATTCCATTTATTTTTCTGAAACTAGTGAAGGTTCAAGTGGACCAAGACTTTTAAGTCACACACACACTCGCACGCACACACACACATGCACACATACCTACACATACACACATGCACACGCATGCATGCACACACACATGCACGCACGCACACACGCATGCACATACACACACAAACACTGTTCTCATGTCTGAGACGAGTTGGTCTTCCCTCCTTCATTTCTCCTACATCATCATTTGACCCTGATTTCTCCCAACTCTACCTAGAGAATAGAATCCCGGCCACACCAATAACTGCATTGGCATCCCATGATTCAGACAGGACTGATTGACCATAGGCCCTTGGGATGAGTCCCCAAGTCCTTGGTGACAGGGTGGGACCCAGCAGAACCTGGGTTCAGGGCTCTCTCTGATTATTGGCACCACCGCCTAGATATTTTCCTGTATAGACATGTGCCAAGAGTTCAAGCATTCATGAAGCTTCAGTTGCAATTCTTTTCCCAGATCCTACTTTGGTCCATTTTCAGTGCCTCCCAGCTGTCCCTGCGAAGCTGAAAGAACAGCGAAGGACGGTGTTGTCCCCAACAGGGGAAACTTCACGAAGATGCAGCTGCGTCCGTGAGGACATATTTTGGGTTGCCAGCAGTGACCTCCGCTGATGGCAAGTGATAGAGCGTCCTAACATGTCTCCTTCTTACACCAACTGAACTATTGCAAACACAGTTGTTACCTGACCTGTGGACTCTCAACAACCCAGTGAAGGAAGCAGGGCAGGTACTGGGAGCATTTTCTCAATGGATATAACCAAGCTTAGAGAAGTGAAGTAACCTCTAGGTGGTAGTCAGCCACAAACCTCACAAATTCCTATGTTTTCAATGCATCACTTAAAAAGTGATTTCTCAATAATTAGGTCTGTACTGGCTGGTTTTGCGACAGTCATCAGAGAGGAAGGAGCCTCGGTTGGGGAAATGCCTCCATGAGATCCAGCTGTACGGCATTTTCTCAATTGGTGATTGTGGTGGTTTAAATGTCACTGACCCCCAGAATCTCACAGGGAGTGGCACCACGAGGAGATGTGGCTCTGTTGGAGGAAGTGTGTCACTGTGGGGGTGTGCTATGAGGCCTCCTAAGCTCAGTATCCTGCCCAGTGCCTCAGTTGACTTCCTATTGCCTGAAAGACGGAGGACTCTCAGCTGCCCCTCCAGCGCCGTGTCTGCTGTGTACTGCTACGACCCCCACCGTGATAATAATGGGTAATAAAGGACTGAACCTCAGAAACTGCCAGCTCCCTCAATTAAATGTTTTCCTTATAGGAGTTGCCATGGTCACGGTGTCTCTTTGCGGCAATAGAAACCCTAACTAAGGCAGTGATCAACGGTGGAGGGCCCAGTCCACAGTGGGTGGGGCCATCCCTGGGCTGGTATCCTGGGTTCTAGAAGACAGCAGGCAGGAAGCTATGTGAGTAGCTGGTAAGCAGCTCTCCTCCGTGGCCTCTGCATCTGCTCCTGCCTCCAGGTTCCTGCTGTTTGAGTTCCTGTCCTGGCTTCCATCAGCGATGAACAGAGTTGTGGGTGTGTAAATGTGAGCTGAATAAAACTTTCCTCCCCCGCCTGCCTTTTGGTCGTGGTGTTTCACACAGCAATAGAAACTCTAACGAAGACAATCTTATAGCCAAGAATATGACCTAAAACACTGGCCAATTTGTGAGTAGAGTTGTTCTGTGTGCCTGGTCGTCTGCTGGGCTCAGAGCTCCAGTATCCCCCCTGCATTCCTGCTTCCTCTCCTGGGAGTAACAGTGTGACATTCTTCTGCTATAAATAGCTCTCTTGCCTTCTACACTGAGAGCCTTGTAATGAGAATGGGGTATGTGAGAACATTCTGAATGCCTGTTTTGCCAACATCAATAAAGGCAGTCTGTAGAAAACTATACTTCCAAGGTTTGTATGAATTAAAGAGTATGTGTATGTGAGCCTCTTCCCTCAAGGCTCGGGACCTACTTGGAAGAGGAAGCAGAAGATTGGAAGAGACAGAAGTGATGAATGACCCAAGAAAACTGTCTTCTGGACACAACTGGACCGAGTCACACGTGAACTCAGGAACCTGTGACATCGTAAGACCTGCACAGGCTCAATCAAATCAGAGAAAAACCCAGCACAGCAGAGAAGATGGGCTGTAGGCAAGCCTGTGGGGCATTTCCTTGATTAGTGATTGCTGTGGGAGGGCCCAGCTCATCGTGGGTGTTACCGCCCTGAGCCCTGAGCCGGAGGTTCTGGTTCTCTACAAAGCAAGCTGAGCAAGCCACCTAGCAGACCAGTAAGCAGAACACTGTCAGGGCATCCGCACCAGCTCCTTGCTGTTTTATCACAGTGACAATAACCCTAAGACTGTGGGCTATTGCTGTGACAGACCTGGCCATGTTTCGGGGAGGAGTGTAGAAGGACTTCGGAACTTTGTCCTCGAGAAGCTGAGTTTTCAAAACACAGTTAGTTGGAAAGCCTGGGAAACCAGAGGATAATGCTGGGAGCAACACAGTTGAGGGGAACCGGCCTGTGCTGTAGCAGAGGGAAGTGAAGATGCCTATCAGGGCCATTTGCAATTTTGAATTAAGACTCTGTGGTTCTGGTCAGCCAGCTCAGGCTAAAGAATCAGCTGTGAGTAACAAGATACCAGAACCTCTGAAGTAAAAGCTTTGTTGTACTGGGACACTTGATGCTGCTTAGTTAAGACATTATCGGTGCTTGAGGAGAGACCAACATCACCGAGGTCAAATCTGGGGGTGTTTTTGCAGGGTCAGCACACAGAAGCTGTGCTCCAGGGGCCTCAAGTTGCATCTCATGCTGGCAGCTGCACTTGGTAGTGTAAACGCCAACCAGGTGGTGCTGGTTTGGAGGGCAGAAAAGGGTCAGGAAGAGCTGCTGAGTCACGCCACCGTGTGGTGGAACCGGAGTCCCTGAAGGGAGATCAGAAGAGGGGTATTGGTGAAAGTACAGGTCAGTTGCAGCGGAGACTCGGAGTTTTGGAGATGCAGGTACCATGGAATGACCACCAAGGACAGCAGCAGTGGGGAGTGGAGCCAGCCGGAGCCTAGAAGAAGACAAGCCGTGTGTGCTGCGGAGGGCAGAGGGGAGAAGCGACCCAAGCCCGCAGGAGGAGCCCTGAACATTGGGAGTTACTCTCAGCCTTCTGGACGCTGAGGTGTTTACACTGTTAGAGCTGGTTCTGCTTTGTTCAGATTGTGACTGTGCCCTGGCTCTTCCCCTTAAGGAAGAGAGTATTTAACTTAATCTTTACTTTCTAGGAGCCCACAGTTGAGAGACTTTGAACTTTGAAGGACATTTTGGAGTTTTACAGAGACTTTGAATTTTTTCGAAGGAGACTGAACTTGTAAAGTGATTAACTTTATAAAGATGGTTGGACACTTAAGTTTGCAATGTGTTT